TAAATTAACAGACAAAGACGACGAGTTAATAAAAGCATTGATAATAAAACATGTAGAATGAGGGAATGAAATTGACGTTATGTTAGGCATGTTTATAATTATGTCTATGATTATTGATGAAACAATAGTCAAAAAAGGTGGTTAAGAAGGATCTTTACTGAGTTTGTGCATCAAGGACAACATTTTACATCAAGGATAAATAGCACACATAGCAGACATGCTATGACTATGATTAGACAGACATAGACAGACATAGCTAGGTTTATTTTTGCAGCTATCAGATCTACATTAAAAAAATTTCAAAGTAAAGCTTCCATATTTAAGTATATTAGGTAACAAGTAAAATAAACACTAGGTTTCATAACATATATAACACGTTAATCCTTGCATAACTTAAAGGTATTTGATATTTAAAATAAATTTAATAAATAAGTTTTCTAACCCGTTGTAAACTTATTTTAAAGATTAAAAATATATAAAACAAAAAAATACAAAAAAAGAATTTTCAAAAAAACTTTATAATTTTACTTTATTTTTGACTAAGGAATTAACTCAAACTTTTAAGTCATAAAAAAAAGTAATTTTTGAAGAAAATGAAAGATTTTTTGGTGGTTTTAAAATGATTATTTTGATACCAAAAATAGGTGATGGATAACTTGGATTATTTAGCAAAATAAAATAATGGATATAAAAAAAAAAAAAAAAAAACATACTTTTCAGTTTGAAACTCTACTTCCTCCTTCTCTCGTTCTTCTTTTGTTAACTTCTCAGAGTGATTGTGTGAATGCTGTACTACTCGCATACCACTAACCTTCACTAGTAAAAACAAAGTTATATAGTATAAATTATTTCAAAACAAGGAGAGCTGATTCATGCAAATAAATATAAACAGTATGTATAATAAAAATATATAATAAAAAGTTAAAATAAAATTATATAAAATATATCAACTTAAAATTTACATATTTTTAACAAGGGTAGCAAGTAAGTTGGAGCAGAAATATTATTTTAATTATTTTAATTTTGTAATAGTAAGTTTACCATGTAATTTACCAACAAATTTGTCAGCGGCGGCCAAAAAAATTTGAAGGCAGCAGAAAGCTAAGGCCGGCACTGATACATTATATACAAAATTACAATAAAAATATTTAACTATATTTTGATCTGCTAAAGCAATAAGAATAAACCCTATTTTGACCTGAAAGAAACAAATCTTGGTAATAAAATGGTATATATGAATTGGCATTATCATAAATAATTTTACTGTGAAAGGAATAATAAAATTAAGCCCCATCAATATTTATAAATATAAAAGCAGTGCATCATTCAGCCAATAGAAAGTAGAGTATTGGGTCACATGACTGCATTGTTTACTGATAGAGTGCTTTAATATTGAAATTTAAAAAAAAAATTACAAGAAAAAACTAAAGCTTATGTTTACAATACTTTTGCACTCAGAATATAAACTTTCTGTTGCTTTATCTGAATTCAAATTTCAACTTGTCAAGATGCTGTTAGGCGTTACTTTTAAATTTAATGATTTCAACAAGATCCCTAGCAAATGCTGCATCATTCATGAAATGAATGATGCAGCATTCATGAAACAGTAGACCCCTCAGACCATTTTTGAGACCTGCTATATAAGGGCAACCAACCATTGTTCATTTTTATTGAAAAAATGAACAATGGTTTGTTGTCTTCGTTTAGCAGGTCTCAAAAATGGTCTGAGGGGCGGCGATGTCCGGTACTTATTTCGACCCCTGTATATATATATATATATATATATATATATATATATATATATATATATATATATATATATATATATATATATATATATATATATATATATATATATAAATGTGATAATATTAATTGTAATGATGTTAAAAAAATATCATTTGCATAAGAACATAGGAAAAAAGGGAAAAACACCAACAACATTACAACTAGTGGATTGCTGCTGCTATCAACACCTGATGTAAACGTGAGTGACAACAAGGATCAAACTCATATTAAAGATAGCAGAAGAAATCGGGGCTCCAATTACCAAAATAAAACAGATAAGTCAACTGAAAAAAAAAAAAAAAAACACGACAGCAAAACTACTAACATAGTAAACCAGACAGAAGATCCAGTAACAGCAAAACCACCGCTAGTTGTTGTTGAACTTGTAGACTAACAAGTTGCGCAAGAATTTCTCAGAAAAAGATGGAAACTCAAAAACTCTATTATTATAGTAATCTTTATCTGAATAGAGACAAAATGGCAATTGAAAGACCAAATGCAGTCATGATATTGTGCAGTGATCTCCAGCCAAACAATCCCACAACAACAAGATCTACACCAACGAATAATTTGATCAAATTCTGCCAAAAACTCTACTACAGCAGCACTATTAACAGCGACCTCTCAGAAAACTATAGCGTACTAATTAGTTCCGCCTAAAGCAACAATAGCGTACTAATTAGTTCCGCCAAAGCTAATACTATAATAACCAGGGTTGCAAAAAAACTAGTTTTTTTTAAAAAAACCAAAAAAAACATTTTTCTTGGTTAAATTAGGTTTTTACTAAAAAATGCGGTATTTAGTTATCCTTTTAAATTAAAAAAAGCATAACATATTTTATTTGAGTAAACTATATTTTTTATCAATATTATTGTTATATTTCATCAAAATTATTCAATATATCATTGTTGAATGTTCTATATATAAATACAAGCTTTGCTGCTTTTTCTACCCCCTAATTGGTTTCTTAACTTAGAATGAACAAGACCAAAAGTTGAATTTTTTTTTTAAATTCCAGCACTAGAAGCTGGTGCATTTAATAAACCTTCAATATCCATTATGTTATAGTAGATTTGGCTTTTAATTTGAATAATATTAGTAACAAATTCTTGAACTCTTTATCTGTGAAATTCATGGCAGCGTCATTTTCTAATCAGATCTAATCAGAAAGATTAGATCCAAAATATCTAGGATCTAGTGTGTTTACCAGGAAATGACCATCACTGACAGTCTGAAGGTATCTAGATTCAATTTTTTTTTTCCGTTTGATAAAAATGATAAACTGTTCATCAAATCTTTAAAAATTTCAAGAGTCACTTGTTTTTGTTTGATCTCTTTGCAACTTATCTAGAGCTACTGTGATTGGTTTCAATATTTATAATAAATCTTCAGTGTTTCACTTTATCTGTATATCACTTATATTTTATAAGTGATATACAGATAAAGTCTATATTTTTTTTAAACATTGTGAAAATAATGCTCCAGTTGTTGACATTTTTGAAATGAATCACATACAGAATTCCAGCAATTTTCAGTAGGAAGTGGCAATTTTGTTCCTCTGCTTAATTTATAAATTTCTCCAGTTTAATGATTATTTCTTATATATTTTATTATTGTGTAACACGCTTGTTCACATTTTCAATTTTCAGATCATTTGCTAAAAGATTCAGCACACCCATAAGTTATGATAATATCTCTTTCAGATGACAATACTTGTCTCATTAATTTCATATTAGCTGCATTGTCAGTCACAAAGCTTTTTACTGTGCATCCAAATTTACATCTTACAAAATCTATTGCTTCTCTTGTTAATTGTGTAAGATATTCACCAGTACGTGAATGACCAGAAGTGTTGATTGTTTCTACTAAAATGTTAATTTTATCTGTAATTACAGAGATACAAACTATAGGTTCATTATGTACATTATTCTAGCCATCTAAGACATGGCTGCAATTTTCCCATTCAATACATTACATTTTTCAATTTCTTCTGTGTAAACCCTATCTAATATTTCTCCTCCAATTTGAGTTCTATTTAGGTAGAGTGTATCCTGGATGAAGCATATTGACAAAATTTTTTTAAAAAACAAAAACAAAAATCATGGATTTAAAAATATATATTTTTATTGAAGATTAGTTATATTTGTGAACATAACCCTGTCTTAGTTTCCTGTTGTAAATTCAAGTCTTTTTAAAAAACATGAGTTTGGTTTAAACCAATGGTTTAAACCATTTGGTTAAAACCATGCAACCCTGATAATAACACCATCGACAAAAAAACAAAGGACCACAAGTGACACTAATAATAAATTGATTAACAGTGGGAAGCCTCTCTCTATACTAAACTATTACTATACAAACGCCATATCTCTGAATTCAGATAAACTAACGAAACTATCTGCACTTAATTTCTCCAATACCATTCATGTTACTTTTATAACTGAAATTTGCTTCTCAGAAACATCAGCACCACTTTTATTAGACTACCACCTAATCAGTATTTCCAAGTGGCATCTGAACAATTTTGGGTTTCACTCACAATAAATAACTATTCTTTCTTACTTGTGCAATCTTACATAATGCAATCAATAGTTCCAACTTTAACTATAGAAAAAGTGACTTCACTGCTATGTCTGTTAAACAATTTAATATTGATTGCATATCATTACTAGCCAACAAAAATATAAACGATGCTTATGATACCTTCATGTCTATTTTTAATAAATTGTGTGTTGAGTCAATCCCAATCAAATAACCTGAAAATCGACAGCAACTTCTAAAAAGGTTACGCAACTATCTAAATTTAAATCAGGGCTATGGCATCTAAACATGGTAAATAAGTGAAAGTTCAGCGACTTAAAAATAGGGTACAACCAAGTAAGAAATAGTTTATAGAAAACTTGCGAAAAAGCACGAAATAAATTTAAACTCAACCTTGCTTATGATAAAAATCCGAAACATTTGTTTGCATATATCAATAGCAAAAACAAGAGTAAAGTTGGTATTAGCCCCTTACTAAATAGCTCTGGTCTATAACAACCAACAAACAACAAGCAAACATTCTCAACAAACAGTTCAAAAGCGTCTTCAATTCAGCATCTAGTAGGGTACTTGGCAAACCTTTTAGCAAAACTAACAAAAAAAATCTGCAATATAAGCATTAATACTAATCAAGTTGAGCAACTTGTTAAAGAAAGGAATCCAAATAAAACGCAAGGATCTGATAATACCTATCCACTAGTTTTACACAGCTGTCCCTCAAATTGGCAAATCCTTTAGCAATACTGTTTCAGCAATCACTTGACCAAGGTGAGGTTCCTACTGCATGAAAAGTAGCAAACATTACTATTCGAAAAGACTTGAGCACCAATCAATATTATATATATGAGCACCAATCAATATTATAGGCAATAATTAACCTATCAGTCTCACCTTTGCACTATGGTTTCTGAGACCCGATTTTTTGGCAGAAACCCATTTTTTTTTTTAGTATTAAAAAACATTTTTTTATGCGATATCTTAAAGTAAGCTCTTGTGGTCTATTTTTAAATTAATAGTTTGTTTGTAATATGCACTCAAGTTGATAATATTTTTTACCTCAGCTTAGTTTACAGTGAGTTGTAAAGTAATAACATAACTTTTGAAATAATTAATATTTTTGATTTCTGTAAAGTTAATAATTTTTGTTCAGGTATATATATACCTGAACAAAAATAATTATTTAAAATATATATATTTTAAATAATTAAGTAAATTAAAATGTTGCATTATTTTATTAATTATGTAAAAGCAATTAGCGCTTAGAAGTATTTCTTCTTTTATTACTTTTTTCAAAACTTTAAATTGACTTTAGTTTAAATTAGTTTTCAGAAATATATTCCATTTTTCAAAACTTGCCCCTAGTTGCCCTAATTTAAAATAAATCTATTTGTTTGCAGTGATGTACTGCTTTAAATACGAGGATTTATTTAATGTATGGCTGGAAAAGAAAGATAAAAAAGAGAAAAACTCAAATGTTTTTGAGCATGTCATTCAAATAGTTGGAAATGATATAACAGTAGTTATTAGCAATAATATTCAAAAGAAAATATATCGTTAGTGCAACTCTTTTGAAAGAAAATGGTCAGATAGTCAAAGAACAATCAGCCAATTTAAAACTAAAAATTCAGATTGGTTGAAGAGAGAAATTACATTAACTGATGATGCAATTCCATCAACATCTTCTCATCAGTCAATTCCATCAAGGTCATCTGGACAACCAAGTTTATCATATACCGAAAAATCGGATTAAGCCAAGAGATTGGAAGCGTCAAATTTATGTCATGATAATTTGCACGAAACATCTCTTATACAGCATAAAGAGAAAGGCATGTCAGCAAAAGAAACACGATTTAGCATTGGTTCTAAAAGAATTGAACAAAAGTCCATCTAGGCCAACTAAAATTAAAAAAACTATATTTTCAACAAAAAAAGAAGCAGTACATTATACAGCAGAAGAAGCATTTGAAATAATTTTGGATTCCAATTAAAGTAAACAACAGTATAAAAACATTAGACAAGGAGCTGTTACCGCCCGTTTGAATTCAGAAGATAATAAAATTTTATGGAACAATCACACTCCTCAATCTGTGCGGTTTTGTAGACCATATAAAATTGAATAAATAAAAGAATCCACATAACATGTTTTAAAAGAAAAAAAAGGATATTGACGGACAAAGAGATTAGCCAAAGCCAATAACGATTTTTTTGTCTGATAATAAAAAAATTCAAATCAGCTTTACATTATTTATGATGCTAATTGATGGCAAAATTGTAAATATATTACCTGGAACAAGTCAAAGTCAAACCAAGCTTGTCCGTTATGTGGAGCTATGCAGAATGCTTTTGTTAAAGTGCAGGATTTAAAAACCATAGAATTATTTAGACCTTAACCTAATACTTTACAGTATGGCATTAGTCCACTTATGGCCTACTTTATTTATAAATAAAGTAGGCCATGGTCCACTACATGCTTGGATATGATTTTTTGAATGCATCGTCCACATATCATACAGACATGATTAGTGTAAATGGCGAATTCGAGGTATTAATAATAAGAAAATCTTTTTATGTAGAAAAAAAACAAAAACAACAACTGTTCTTTGAAAATTTACACCTTCATTTGGATAAACCAAAAGTAGGAGGTTTTGGAAGTACCAATGACGACAATACTGCACGCTGAGCATTTGAAAATATTGAAAAATTTTCCAAAATAACTAATGTGGATGAAGAGTTGATTAAAAAGTTTAAAACTATTCTTATTTCCATCTCTTGCCAGTATCAAATTAATTTAGACAAATTTGAAAAATATTGTTTTGAGATGGCAAAACATTATATGTCTAAATATCCTTGGTATCCGATGCCTGCAACTGTATACAAAGTTTTATTTCATGGCAGATAAATTCTTGAAAATACAGTACTGGCAATTCGTTATTTTGGCGAAGAAGGGTCTGAAGCAAGACATAAAACATATAAACATGATAGACAATTTCATGCTCGCAAAACCAGCAGAGAAAAAAATCTAAAAGATACTTTTCATAGAGCTTTAGATATCTCAGATCCTATCATTTCTGGTATTAATTTAAACAGAAGAAGTTCAGAACCATCATAAGTTTCCTCTTTCTTCTAAAGTAATAAGTTTACTAACAGAAATGCCACCCAATACCACGCAAA